ACAGATATTTCTCTACTTTAGCTCATCTTTATTTCATATTTATTTTCACTAACCTCTGGCCGGAATTTGGCTTTTCCCAAAATTACAAATGTAGGTAGCAGAGCACAGAGCGTTAGCAGTCAGTACCTGTGACTTTGTCAGCAGTGGAAATGGACAGATCATTTCACATCACATAGCTTTTGTTGTAAATGTCTAGAAGTTAAATTAATCAAATTACAGGATCTACTGGTGAGCTAAATAATTACTTTGAAGCAACTGTAGATCTTGCTTATTCATCCTGCTGGTAGATCTTGTAATTTAATGTGTTAGTAAATAAGCACATGTTACCATATCATACATTTTCTGGAATATTTTAAAAACCATCTTTGAACATATTAAATTTATTTTGTAATTCTCTGTGTTTTACTTTATGCAGTTGGAAGTATTCATTTTAGAAAAGCCAAAGAGACCTGTGGCACACCCAAAAGAGAAGAGCCTTTATTTGTGTTGCTGTGCCACCAATCACCCTATGTGACCTTGGCCAATCACCTTGCCTCATTGGCCCTCCCCTATAAAATAAGAAAGCTGAGTTGCTGGTCCAAGGACCTTAACTGAAATCAACATTTCTCTCACCCAAAATCAGGAGCCACTATGGTTGCTCTAGGTGGGCCAGGTTGAACTTGCATGCTAGGGGTGTCCCCAGTTATGTTCCCTTACCTGCAGAAAGACAGGAAGGAAGATCATGGGGGGCACAACAAGTGGTTGTCATAAATGCTACGGGCCAAAGAGGCCACCACTGTTCCTTCACCTGGAGGTGACAGTGGTTCCTGATTAAAAGCTTACAGCCCCCGGTGACAGAGCAGCGAGCAAGACTTTGTCTAAAATAACAAACAACCACAACTGGCCGGGCGCTGTGGCTCACGCCTGTAGCTAGCTCTGGGAGCCGAGGGCGGATGCTCAGGTCAGGAGTTCGAAACCAGCCTGAGCAAGAGCGGACCCGTCTCTACTATAAATAGAAAGAATTAATTGGCCAACTGATTATATATATAAATTAGCCGGCATAGGGCGCATGCCTGTAGTCCAGCTACTCGGGAGGCTGAGGCAGAAGATCACTGGAGCCAGGAGTTTGAGGTTGCTGTGAGCTAGGCTGACGCCACGCACTCACTCTAGCCTGGACAACAAGCGAGACCTTCTGTCAAAAAAAAAAAATAAAAAAAAAAAAAAAACAACAACAACAACAACAAAAAACATTTAATCCACAGGACAACCCTGGTAGGCATCCCATTTTACAGATAAGCAAACTGGAGCCCAGATTTTAAGGCCCAAGGTCACATGATTAGTAAGTGGGCTAGCTGAGGTTTGGAACTGAAGCAGTCTGGCATCAGGCTACCTGGAACTTGAGCCCACCTACTCTCTCTCCCCGACACCTGCCCCCCTCTTATCTGTGATCCTTTTCAGAGCATTGAACCTCTTCTCCCTGTGATATTCATACTTCAGCTGCTAGGCTAACACACTCAAGCCAGCCCCAGAGCAGTGGCAGTCAGTAGATTGGTTCTCTAGTCTGTCGCTACAGAAACGGAAGTTTTAGCGGGGCTGAGGAAAGGTGACTTGGGCTCAGCAATTGTAGGAAGGCAGAGGGATGAGGCAGGGTGTCACTGTCCCTCCAGCCCGCACTGTCCTGTCCAGAGCCAGAACTCGACTGCATCTAATGGTCTCTAGTTCAACTGGGTATTTGGTTAAAGCTTCAGGTTGGCCTAGAAGTTCCACGTTCTGAGTGAATGACAGACTGGAAAAGTTTAAGTTCTAAATGCACGGCTTTAGACTAGGCAATGAGCAGGATTTTTATTGTACACAGAGAAAGAAGAGCAGCATAGGTGCCAGGAGACAGAGGGAGTAGAGATTCCAGAGGCTTCTAGAAGCCATGAGTAAGAAGGTGAACATACTGTGGGTATCATTTGACTTTATTTGTTTTGTCTGATGAAAACTGTTGTGGATCCGAGGCCAAAGTCGGGAAGATGGAGGCTCTTTTTTGGATGTTTGTTTCTAACCATACTCTTTTGTAACACAAAGGAAAAAGGCAGAACGGTCCTCCCACTGGTGCCAGCCAATCAGCAGGGCTCCTGCCTTCCTCCAGGGCAAGGTCGCAGCATCTGTGTAGGAAATCACTGGAAGTCTTCCTGGTGCTCCTCTGGCTCAGCTGGGAAGTTGCCAAGAGTGTTTTCCGAAACGCCTGTTTATCCTCGAATTCCTCAAATCCCACCATGCTGTTCGGCCTGCTGCGCTTTACGCTCCTTCCATGCCCAATCACACCCCTGAGGTTCCACAGATGCAGTGCCCTCGTTAATTGTGGCTGTAAGCAGCTGCTGCCTCCCTGCTACCCGCGATCTAGCACCAGCATTTTCGAGGGGTGTCTTCGGTCCAAGTGGCTACACTGACAGCTCATGCATGAATCTGCCCTGTGGCGGCCCCCATGGCCTTCCTCGCCACTGCCCCTCAACTCGCTCGGTGCAAAAAGAACTCGCGCTAAACGTGCTCCTGGTGTGTACAGCTCCAGGTTGGACGAAGGCAACAAGCAGTGGACCAAGAGAACACGCGATTCCCACGTGCGGACCAATGCGGAAGCGGGCGATAGGAGGCGGAGCGCCAGCTCACTGGAAGCCGTCTCTCGTCCGGCATCCCGGCCGCTGCTCTACGGTCCTGTGCAGTAACATCGCCGCCACTTGCTGGCACCCACGAGTGCACTCCCTCGCGGCGCTGCCTTGCACCCGTGGCACTTCTGCCCACTCCTTCGCAGCGTGGCCTGCTGCCTGGTCACATCTACCTACGACCACCGC